TCGACACTCGAATTAACTAAACAACCAACCAGGCAGCTAGCGAGCCGAACGACCCCAGGGGGAGTGAATACGTTTGGTCACCAAACAACTGCAACTTCCCCTGGCTTTAAGCTGCAACGGGGCACATACGTACGTCGTTGTTCGTAAGTACAAGTACGCAATTGTCTCCAAGTAGCAATTATCCATTCACGCTCAACATCCTTTGCAAGTTTAAGCCTCTGGCCGAGAATAGACAATTAACATAACACTCCAGTGGAGCGGAGAACATTGTGTGTGAGTGTTCTGTTTACCTTGGCCGGTAAAAAGAAGAAGAAAAAAACTTCCACCAACAGACACAAGATAATTCCCAAATATGTTTTGTTTTTTTTATTTTTTAATAAATTTAAAATAATTTCTACTCTGATGCGTTCCCTTTGTTGGACCCTGCTGAATGACTGTCTGTCCTCAAGTTGAGCCAAAACTTTTACTTTCTCATCGTCAACAGCAGCAGCAGCAACCACAGCAGTCGAGTGGTGTTGTACCACCACTACGACTGGAATTTATTTTTTACAACATATTATTAAAAATTTATAAAATTAACTCAACCATGATCCATAGTCGATGGCCAACGATGGGCGGTGCCGGTAGCGGTAGCTCTCATCCGACCATCTAATGAGACCTAAAAATGCTAAACTTTACAACATGTTAACGTTGTTTTCCTTTGACTTGCGGGACACGCGGTCATTTTGATTGGTGTCATCCCATCGATGCTAACCTGTAATTATGTGAACATGCAATAATCAACCAAAAGTATTTAAAGCGTGGGGAATAACTGTGTATCGCTTTAATACGAGATCCCTTAAATTGCGGTAAAAAGCTGCAAAAATTGTGGCAAAATAAATTGGAAATAAAAAGTTTAAGATGTAGATTTTGGGGAATAAAATTTTACGTATAACTCAAGTATTTTAGACTTTAATGGAGGACGGTATACAAATTTTGGACCGGTCGAATTCTGATCCGATTCTATCTCCTATATCTTAGCCAAAAACTTTTCATTTATCGGGTCTCCTTTTTTGGGAAGAGAAAAAAGTCAGAAACATGTTCCTATTTTGGACGACCTTCCCGATATTTGTATTTAAGTAAGTGTCGGTCAAGTACGTACACGATAGCCATATTACATACATATCTGGCTTATGACAAAACAGTTGTTTCATAAGCCGACCTTAAAAAGATTTCCAAGCGCGTCGGTCTTGTGCACATCTCATCCAATTTGAAAGACCATTTTCCGAGATGTTGTCTTTTACTTTATCTTTCCATCGGATTTGTGGCCTTCCCCTTCTGCGTGAACCGTCACTTGGCTCGTTATACCCTTCACCACACTGTGGTACAGGGTATTATGTCTTTGAGCGTATGTTTCTAACAGGCAAAAGGAAACGAGATAGACACATGGCTCCTTTTGAGAATATGCATAGAATCACTTTCTGAGTCGATTTATACATGTCCGTCCATGTATGTTTGTGAACAAAGTGCAGGTCGCATTTATGATCCGATTTGGATGAAATTTGGCACAAGTCACTTACTTGGCCCAAGGACGAACCCTATTGAAATTGGTGAAAATCGGATCAGATTTAGATATAGGTCCCATATATATTTTCGTCCGATATAGGCACCAAAGTCCCTATATATCTTTTGATTGGTATGAAGTTTTGCATAGGGTACTGAATTAGGTCCAGAATGATGTGTTCTATGTTTCGTCAAAATCGGTTTAGATATAGATATAGCTACCATCAGCAACGTACACAGGATTTAATTTCGGAGGAGGCTCGGTAGTGCAAAATGAAAAAATTCGCTGTTTCAAACAAAAATTTACTGTGAAAAAAATTTATTTATTTATTATTTATATAAATGGTGCACTAAATTCCTTTATATCTTTCGATTTGCACGAAATTTGGCATATCGTACTGAATTAAGACTGTGTGTAAAGACGAACCCTATTGAAATTGGTGAAAATCGGATCAGATTTAGATATAGCTCCCATATATATTTTCGTCCGATATAGGCACCAAAGTCCTTATATATCTTTCGATTTACACGAAATTTGGCATAGCATACTGAATTAGGTCAGGAATGATGCATGCCAAGTTTCGTAAAAATCGGATTTAGTTATAGCTCCCATATATATTTTCGTCCGATTTAAGGGAACCCCACCCATTCTCGATTTTAATTTTTCAAGATTTTCAATGGGCTGGTAAATCAATATCAATGCTTGTTAAGGTTTGTAACTTTGCACATATGTATTTGAAGATTTAAAAGAGAAGAAAAATAATTTACAAAAAATTTTTGTTATTGCTTTGTTGTTGTTTTTTTGTAATTAAAGAAAAGTCCTTATTTTTGATGGCGTGCATGATAACTCCTCACTGGAACAACGGAATCCGAAAATTCCAACGGTGTTAGAAAGAGTACATGTCTGGCTCTCGTATGAACTAGGATTATAGACTTCGCTCTAAAATTAACAAAATGGTGGACCTTTGGAAAAATATTTTTGGAAAATCGCCAATTTTTTACAAAAACCAAGTTAAAAAATAAGGAAGATTTTCACCGATTGGCTTTATCCTAGTTCATACGAGAGGTATACACTCCCAGAGAAACGTTGCAAAATTTGGAACCGATTGGATTATTAGTTTTTGAGTTATCGTGCCCACCATTCGCAAAAAAATGTTTAGAGAAAAACTCGTTTAAAGTTTGGGAAGCCATTCAGCCGTCACTTGATGCTGACACAATAAATCCGATATATCTTCAAGAGTTCTTGAGATTTTCACTTGCAATTTTGTAGGGACATTCTTTAATTAGTGTAGATTCGAATTATATGAACAAAAATTTTGACCCCAAGAATGGGGGGGGTCCCCTTAAGGTAAACGGCTCACTAATGTCCCTACATATCATTAGATTTGCACGAAATTTGGCATAGGGTACTGAATTAGGTCCAGAATGATGTGTGCTAAGTTTCGTGAAAACCGGTTCAGATTTTGATATAGCTCCCATATATATGTTCGTCCGATTTTAGGTAAATGGTACACCAAACTCCTAATGTTTGTCGGATTAATACGGAATTTTGCACAACGTAACATATATATTTCGAACGGGTGTCTGATTGATGGTATATTTTTAACAATGCGGTATACTGAGTAGCGTGTATCAAGTTTGCTATAAATCGATTTCCATAAATTTGTCCCATTGTACGCAAACGATTCTAAATCAACCCAATTAATACTAAATTTAGCATAGATTGCAGAAAGGTGTATGTCCCGTCGAGGGAACATTGACATGAAATTGTTAGGATACATATGAACAATATACATAAAGTGGTGAAGGGTATCATATCGGCTCATATATGCCTTTTGAGCTGGGGCATCTTCATTCATTCTCACAAAATGGCCAACCTAGTGGCTGCAGCTCGATACCTCTGATTATGTCGATATCCGAGAATAGATGGTATAGGTCATGGTTCATTCTACGGCGATATTCACCGTTGATGCAGATTGGCCCATAGAACTTCCGGATAATATTTCTCTCAAACACTCCAAGAGCTGCCTCATCTGCTTGCGCAACCCAGGCTTCATTCTCCTTCGGATTTCATAGCTGAAGTTTTTAGTTTTGTTTATGGTATATAAAATCGTTCACTACCTTGAAGTTGTAGTTTTCAATTTCCACAGTTGGTCCGAGTCTACTTAACGTCTTGCGCGTTGATACCATCAGCTTGGTCTTTTCGCCATTTACTGCCAGTCCCACTTTGGCAGACTCCTTCGCAATTCATTCAAAGGTGGCTGTTACCGCTCACAATGTTCGACTCATTATGCGATGTTGTCGGCGTAGGCGAGTAACATAAACTGTTTGGTGTACAAAGTGTCATTTCTGTTCAGAATTGCATCTCGTATGACCTTTTCCAGTCCACACGACGAACGGTCATCTTTTCTAAATCCTCGTTCGGTATTGAAGGGTTCCGAGAGGTCCTTTCCGACTTTAACTGCTGACCTTGTGCCAGTTAAATTTATCCTGCAAAACCATATTAATTTTGCAAACGCAGACATGGTTTTGAACACCTCTGGACGGATAGGGCTGTGGAATGCGGCTTTATAGTCGACGAATAGGTGGAATGTGTCGATGTGTTTTTCGTGGGTGTTTTCCAGGATCTGGTGCAGAGTGAAAATCTGGTCTATTGTAGATTTGACAGACCTGAAGGTCCCATAATGTCATTGATCATTGGCTTTAGTCGTTCACCCAGCACGCTGGATAGCTCTTTATATGTGATGGAAAGGAGTGTTATTCCCCATATAGTTGACACATATCGTCGTGTCTCCTTTTTTGTGCACGGGACACCGGATGCTGAGGTTGCATGCATTCCTTAAGCCAAATTGTACTAATAATCCGGCGCATGCTCCTGACCACCGGTCTTGAATAGTTCGGCTGGTAACCCATCAGCACTTGCAGTTTTATTGTTCTTAGGCCGATCAATTGCTACTCTGACCTCATCTTTGCTAGGTGGTATACACTCTATACCGTCATCTCTTATTGGTTATATTCGAAACCAGAAGCTTTTCAAAATGCTATCTGTATCTGTATGTCACCAGGTTTTCATCTCTACCGGTTTGGTGACCCTGTTCCTTTTTGAAAATTGTGAGAACTGATCGACCGAAAATGCTCATGTGTTATTTCCGTCCCAAAATTTTCATAAGTCATCATTCGATTTTTATAAATATGAAATGATTGGTCCAATTAAAAATCATTCAGTATCTATAAAAATTAAAAATATACAATTTGCATTTGGAGGTGAAATTTTGTATATCCATTAAAATTTGTGATTATGGTATTTAAAATTCGATGGCAAATTTGTGATATCAAAATATTCCAAAACCCATTACATTGCAGTTATATTGAGCTGAACGATTTCCATTGTATAAAATACAAATATTTTTTAAATATTCTTTCATTCATCGCTGCAAGTTAGACCACTAAAAGTCGAAATGAGATTATTCGCCATATTTGTGCTACTTTGGACTCTTGTTCATATGGGCGATTTAAAAAAGGTAAAACAATTTTAAGAAAGTAGTAGTATTTAATTTTTTATCCACCTTTACAGATAGCCTATTTTACCCATGTCGAATGTCCTGCACCACTTTCCGATTTGGTATATGATTTTTCATGCAGTTTATTTAAAAATCCCGATGGTATATCAGTGCTAAAGTTAACCTTTAAACTCAAAGAGGATACCAGCAATGTAGCCTTGCATTTTAAGGTCAAAGGTAAACGAGAGGAGCAGCAATCCGAGGAGACACTCTTAGTTTTTGATTTGGATGTTTGTGATGCAATGAGGGCTTCGCATGAACATTTCTTCTTGAAATTGGTCTTCGATGAACTGCGACGTGTCAGCAACTTGCCCAGTGAATGTCCATTCAAGAAGGTAAATAAATATGGGGTATTCAGATGATGTGATTATAAAATTATTTTTATTTGCCTTTAGGATACGGCTTATAATATAAATGGTTTTACCATTGATTCGTCTGCCATACCATCGTATATACCAGAAATGTCTTGGACCTTACTGTCCCACTACAATGTGAGCAATAAAATGTCGGCAACATTTAATGCATATGGTAAATTTTCAGAGAAAATTTGAAGTTAGTTAAAGGGAAAATTCGTCATTATTGTTTTGGGGTTTTTTGTGGTACTATTATGCTAAAATGTAGTTATGGAAATGGGTTCAAAAATTTTAAATGTATATTTTTTTAACAATAAACAAAGACTTTAAAGTCATTTCAACGCAGATATTTATTTTTGTATCTACCAAACTCGGATGGTATCATATAATATATACCCTACAACAAATTGGACATACACAAGATGTGTTCCTAAAGTTCTTATTTCAGCCTACAGTATATATACCGATTTAAATCAATCTTAAACAATTTTACATTTAGATGACTTAGGATATATGTGAACAATAACTTGCCATTGGGGAAAATTACATTTTTCATATGTGAACCGACTTCAATCAGTCCATGCCTTTATGTTCGATAATATATGCTCTATTTTTATGACAATATGACAGATTTAATGACATTGGTGTTCCATTTACGTGAAATCGCAAATCATTACACAAGGAGGATGCCCGATGTCCGATATTTTCCTTCATACTAAATATTTCAAATATTAAATTTATTTAAATTTAATGGAAGCTATGCCAAAATGAGGACCGATATAGCACATTTTCCGATCTGAACTTCCAGTTTTGTATCACAATACCTTATGGAGGTAGTATAATTATAATATTTGTTAGACGGACGGAAATGCCTAAATCGTTTTAGAATACTTTGTAGGATACTTCCATAACCCTAAAAGGGGACAAATATTAATATTTTCTGAAATCCAAAATACCAAATTACATTTTTTAAGGAAACAGACCTTAATATCGTCACGAAAAGCAATCTGGCCTCAAGGCTTCTTTTCATCTATAAAGTCTTCCTGACATACACCTCGTCTAAATCTTCCTCCTTGGTATTCAGATCGGCTATGAAACCTGTCTGGTCTTTCGAAATTATATCAAACCTTCCTGTCTTTCATACCGTCTATACATCATGCCTTATGAGCGCCTATGAAGTCTAAAAAGTCTTCCTAGTCTTCAAATAGACATTGAAGTTGCCTTTTTCTTCAAGCCTCAAGGGATTTCAACATGTCTACGAAGCCTCCTAGGCCTTCAGTTCGTTTATAAAGTCCCATGAAGCCTTCTCCGCCTTCATCACTTCTCTGAAGCCAACATGACATTCATAATATAACATGATATAATATAAAGCTGCCCCTGCGTTCAGCTCTTTTATAAAAGCATTTTTGGTCTTTCGATCATCAATGAATGATATCGTCTATACAGGCTCCCTAACCTCCTACATATGAGGTTTCTCAGGTCTTAAGGTCGTTTGTAAAGCCTGACTAGCCTTAAGATCTTATATGAGGCCTCCGTGGCTTCAGATCGAATGTAGAAACTCCTCGGCATTCACCTTATTTAATGGAGCCCTCATGGTCTTCAGTACGTCGACAAAAGTATCCATCGTATCCAAGCCATATACAAAACCACCTTGACACTACTTTCGCGAAGCCTCCCTGCCATTACTGGTCGATGAAGCCTTCCAGACTTTCCATACGTCTATTAAGCTTTCATAGCGCTCAACTCATCTATAAAGCCTCTCTGATTATTAGCTCGTCTATGAAGCCTCCCTGGCATTTACAAGGGATTTACATTGATCATTTTTGGTACGTAGATAATCGAAGAAGCGTTGGGTATTTAGTGCACCATTTAGATAAAATCGGTCGAATATATATGTGAGAACTATATCTAATTCTAAGCCGATATGATGCTAACATGATTCATGTCATTCTACACTTTATTCGACGAGCAAAATGTCGTCTCTGTAACTTTTTGTTTTATACTTAGAATAGAAAAAAGAAAGAATTTAAAATATGCACATACAAAATTAATTATTAAATCAAATTATAGTAAATTGTTTCACATATTTAATAGTTATTGCATGTAATTCCATCATAAACAGCTCTTTAACATCCCGGTTACCGAGTGTAATGTTGTTTGTACACACATATGGGCTATGTTTTTTCCCTACAGTTTCAACTGCAAAGTACATGTCAAAAAAAAAAAAACAAAGTCTACACAAACATTAATTCAAAATATTATTTTATGTGTGCTAAACATGAAATACGAACGGTTTTATTCTGCGAAATTTGTACCAGTATGTGTCAATGCAGATACCTGGATTCGTCTTCTACTTTTTCTTTTTACACTAGTTACGAAAACATTGGACATGTCAATGTTGAGACCATAAATAACTCCGGATGATGGAACGGAGGAAACACCTTTCCAGGGAAATGTCGCACACAACAGGGGGCTGTCATATAAAAGTGTTGGCTAAATATACTTCGTCACCTGATATTGTCTGCTTTAACATCAGTGGTCTCTGTCAGTTTGATCAAAAGATTTATGGTTCTTTAGGAAGTTCGGTTCAACGAAGTTTTTCGCCTTGAAGGTTACAATGTAATAGCGACGATATGTAAATGTTGACAGACACGCATGAAAATTACTTAGTATCTGAAGATAATAACGACCATAATTCATGTATCGTTTAATTACAGTCTGGTTTGTTGGTCTACTTATAAATTATTAAGCTAAACATTTGAGTTGTATCGTATCAAGCAGGATCAAAATGTTCACAAAAAGAGCATTATGGAATACTTGAAACTAAGGGAATTTAATTATTTTTATAAATATTTTTTAATCTCTAGTTATTCTAGCATCATTATTTTTTTATACAAAGGCTGACTTTCCCAATTTTAGGTTTACAGTACGAATTAAACAGATTTTACAGATGTTATTTTAATTTCATCTTCTGAAAATGGTTCTTCAGGCAAAATTTGTTCACGAAAAGTTATTTTTATATCCTACACAACTATGTTGTCAGGGTATTATAGCTTTGTGCAGCCCAAGAATTTGTAACGCCGCGAAATATTGGTCCTCGACCCACCTTTAAGTATACCGATCGTCATATCACGACTAGCTGAGTCGATCTAGACATGTGTGTCCGTCCGTCTGTCCATTATAATTTGTAAACACGATACAGGCCACAGTTATGGACCGATCTTCACGAAATTTAGCATGTACGATGTGTTCTGCACAAAGAAGACCCTATTGTTTTTGGTAAAGATCGGTTAATATTTAAGGGACGAAATGGACCAAAAACGTTATTTTTGTCGGTTTTTCTGGTCGCTCTAGAGGCCGCAATTATGGCCTAAACATCGCGATTTTTAACATGGAGAAGGGGATCGGGATATTAGTAACATTTGTTGACCTCTAGACGGTCAAGGCCCGTCCGACTATACTGCTCCGCTTACTGTTTTATATATATATATATATATATATATTGGAAAGAAATGCTAATTATGTGTCCCCCTCAAATTTGACATGTTTCAAAAATTCCATAATACCCCGAAAAGGTGTGCGTGTTATTTGAACCGGTAATTTATTGAGCACCCCGAGAGTTAAAAAGTGGCGAGGAGTGTACTACGTCACATAAGGGCACTTCGAGCCGAGGAGGTACCACCACAATTTTTGGAAGAGGACGTTGGAGATGTCATCAAAAACGCTAAGTCATCCAAAGCGTTGGGCTCAGGCGGAATATCCATGATAATGCTTAACCCTTTTAGTGTCAAAAAAAATGTTTGTCGGAATAAAAATCTAAAATGTTGCTTAAGATCATATAAAGGCACAGAGTTTAGAAAGCAATTCTTATTTTAACCCTCGGACAGTTTTGTCTGTCTTTCAGCAAAAACAAAGACATCAATTGTAACGGTACATAGGATAACCGAAAAATCTCAAAGAAAGAGAGTAATTTGAAATGTCAAATATATTCGACAAAAACACTGAAAGGGTTAAGCAGCTGAATAAACCCGGAGCTGAGTATTTAACATCAGCCCTCAACTTGTATTTAACTAGCCCAATTTGTTCATGACGCCTGGAAAACAGGCAGTGTGGTCCCGCTACTGTACAGGTCGATTTTACTACTGTCGCCAGTAGTAAAGACACTCCTCCCATCGTTGAAAAGCAGTTTTCCAGTTACCCAACATCAGCATGTTTTCCGTAATATGCACAGCACAACAATAGCATTACACGCCATTTCCACACATATTACCAGAGGACTTAACCGGAACAGGATGTGCAACTGAACAATTTTGTGGGCACTTGACCTATCGAAGGCCTTCGTTATCGTATTCCATGCCAAGCTGTTCGAGGATATTAAGAAGACAAATCTCTCTCTTCTACATAGCCCTTCATCACACTGTGGTACAGGGTATTATGTCTTTGTGCATATGATTGTAACAGGCAAAAGGAAACGAGATAGACACATGGTTACTTTTGAGAATATGCATAGAATCACTTTCTAAGTCGATTTATGCATGTCCGTCCGTCTGTTGGTGTTAAATTGTAAACATAGTACAGGTCGCATTTATGATCCGAATTGGATGAAATTTGGCATAGGTCACTTATTCGGCCCAAGGACGAACCCTATTGAAATTGGGAAAAATCGGTTAAGATTTAGATACAGCTCCTATATATATATTTAACCGATTTTATGTAAACGGTCCCTATATATCTTTCGATTTGTTACAGCCTAATCATTTAGGTTTAGAATGATGTCTGCCAAGTTTCGTGAAAATCGGCCCAGATTTAGATATAGCCCCCATATATAGTTTGGTCCGATGTCATGTAAATGGTGCACCAAAGTCCCTATATATCCTTCGATTTGCACGAAATTTGGCACAACGTACTGACTTAAGCCTAAAGTGATGTCTGCCAAGTTTCGAGCAAATCGGTCCCGATTTAGATATAGGTCCCATATATAGTTTCGTCCGATTTCATGTAAATGATGCCCCAAAGTCCCTATATATCTTTCGATTTGCACGAAATTTGGCATAAAGTACTGAATTGAGCCTGGAATGATGTCTGCCAAGTTTCGAGAAAATCGGTCCAGATTTAGATATAGCTCCCATATATAGTTTCGTCCGATTTCATATAAATGGTGCACTAAAGTCCCTA